GACAACATTTACAGCAAACACAAAATTATCATGATACCACAGGAGACATTAACCAAAGAAAGAAAACCTTTGAAAAATAATGGAAGCACACTGGTTGAGATTTACATTACAAAACAGATAAACTGTATTCTACATCCCTTTTAGTTTTTGTTCAGCTCCTTCATCTTATGATTTTGCCTGCCCTTTCCAAAATAGTTAAATATATCCTTCTCCATCTAAAAAAATATTTGCTGATAAAAAACTCCTTTAGCTTGGGACTGGATGAGAAAGGAATGCAGAAAAGCAAAACAAAACACTAAGATGGAAATGGATCACTTTTAGGATATAATTTTACATGACATGGCCAAGCAGTGGAGGACTGAATCAGCTGATTCCTTTAATCCCAAAGTTCCAAAAATCCAGCTAGAGCTAAACTTTCTGCTTTTTCTACCTGTGTTAGAGGAAGTAATTGTACAGGTTCCTCTCTGCAGACACTATTTATCTAATTAAACTGTTATGGAATATAGCAAACAAATAATTAGGGAATAGATGCTACAGCACTACCAATTACCCCCCACAATATGAAAACAGCCTATAGTCAGAAAATTGCAGGTAAAACTTTAGAGAAGCCAGTCAGCATCTTCATCTGTCTGCAACATTCTGTGAAGCTTGGCAGAAACGTCCAAGGCTGAGATATATTATTCCTTGTTTGTACTGCCTCAGCATCTGACCTTCTGAAAGGGGAAAGGGATTTTTTTTTATTCCATTGCACACTGTTATTTACATTTGGCTGTCCAGTCTAATGTGAATCCATTTTGTCAGATAAAATGAGACTGTTGAAAGTAAATCACAGAATACAAGCATGCATGTATATGTATGTATGTACAGATATAGAATTATGTGCATATTAATACCTTTAAAACAGTCTATGCTTCATCTTTGCTCTTAAGGTGGTTCCTTTTCTACTGCTGGAGTTAAAAATAAATTGCTGGTATTTGTGAGGAAAATTTCTAATTAGGTATGCCAATGAAAAACGTCCTACCTGCAAATGCTAATGAAACAAGACTGATAATTAATTCCAAAGATAGACATTCCTATTTAAATAAAATGCAATTGCCTAATTGTTTAAAAAGAAACTACTTTAATGGAGTAGTTTGTTCAACACCACAATGAATATGATTTTTAATCCTGTGTTCAAAATCTTACTTAAGTGTTTTTAAATACTATTTGGAATCACAGCTGGAAAAGTGCACACTAGTAGGAAGCTTGATTATCACTATCCCCTTTTTAGGCCAAGGCTGAGGACACAAATTTTCCATATGCCTTTTCTCACACCTTCTCCAGCTTTCTCAAAAGTTCTTCTGTGCTCACTAGAAAATGCTGATGGACAATTACCTTTAGAAAATGAGACCTCTTTAATGTTGATGAAATTCTAATACGACTTAAAGGATATTTTATTAACTATTGTGTATTTTATATTTTTGCAGTGCTACGTACAAACTGGCTTGAAAAGAACCCTTATGGTATTGCCATACATAAAAATTGTGGTGCTGCGACCCCTAATGCCCTGCCCAACCTCTACCAACTTGTCTTAGCATTTCTGTGTTCATATTACTCCAATTTCTGTCACACAAATAAAACAAACAACTCCTTTGAATACTGTGTGGAAGCTTTGAATAGGATCAATTTCTCCCATCATCAAAATCCAAATTTTCTTCACTGTCATTTTGAGTGAATAAAAGTCAGTAACACATATTCTAGCAGTTGCACAAACTTCAATTAGAACTTGACATTTCTCAAATCCACCCCTTCACTACGATTAGGGATAGAGGCAATTCCACTGGGAATAGCACGTATTAAACTGAGATTAGGTTCCATATGTACATTAAAATGGTAGATATAAAGGAATGGAAAAAAACAATGAAAAACACACTGTCAAGTTCAATTGATGGAATCATGCAAGAGGTCAAAAAATTCTAGATGCTCTTTTTTATTTGAATTAATGGCTAAGTCTTTTAAATGTCTCCAAACAACAAGACAATTACCTGGAAATACCATTACTCAGTTATAATCTTTCACTCATTAGATAGTTATGAAAATAACTTGTGAAAAAAACTTTCCTACTTTGCTTTCTATTTGTTCTAGATGTTTGAAACTGTCTGAGCTGGTGAAAAAGTATCTTTCCATACTGTCAAATTGGGATAATTTTAAAGTTGCAACATATAATCACAATGTAACATAATAAGAAAAAAAAAATAAATTAGTAAATAAATAAATTAATAAATAAAATAGAATGCAAACTTGAAAATATTAAGTACCTAAAGAAAATCCTGGGAAAAAATACAGGTTTATTTCTATTTGGAATAAACATTTGCAACTCTCCTGTGTCACTTTATTGAAGAAAATTAAAATGCTTAATTATTTTGTAGGTGGATGCTTAATTGAAGAGATATTTTTTGTGGAATAGTGTGTGGAAGATGTGTTGTGATGCTTCTTGTCTACATTTTCACACATGGGTCTGGTTCCATGTATATATTAATTCTCTTTATCCTGGTAAATCCAGGCTTGGCATTACTAGTAACATCTCACCAGCTTTGCCACAGGCAAACAACACAGGCCTCTGGAGAGAGGCTGTCACGTTTGCCTTACCCTGGGCTGGCATGGCTTGTGTGGAGAGCTTGGTTTCAGCTTTGTGTCATTTTGCTTAGCCATAAGAGCTCTAGTCGAGTGACCAGGTGCCACACTCAATTGGTTTTGGTTTTGCTCAGCTTAGTATGCTTTTACAGCATTATATAATTTTTGTTAATGCTGGTGAGATAGGTCAAACTAACTGAATTCAAACTCTCTTAAGATAAAATTAAATCGAACTATGGTTAATCCTCAAATTTACTTCAAGAGTATTTATTTTATCTTCATTACAGAGCCTAATACATTTCTTTGGCTTTCTGGGCACACACATTTCTTTTGTTCACATTTCTTTGGCTTTCTGGGCACACATCATACAATGAATAGCAGCTGGTTTTAGGTTTTATTTTTCAATATGCAATGAATACATCTAAGTTTTGTTAATGACATAGAAGAATAAATCTTACTCTAGAAATCATCTTCTAAGATAGCCTTTTAGTTTTAAATAGGGTCTTTTCCACTACTCTACTGCAACAAAGAAACCAAAATTATTCCTAATCTTATATAATCTTATGTTTTCATTAACATTCATATTAAGGCAATGCTTAACATCCCATATGGAAATTATTTTCATTATTCAAAAGTCCATTAAAAATACATAAAGAAAAGCTATTCTTATGTCTGGAGTTTTACAACTATACAAAATAGTCCCTCAGAGACACATCAAAGTCTTATTTCGAAGAACAATGTTATGCTTCCATTAATACAATGTTTGCAAAAATCATGCTAATGCTTTAAACATGTCTTTAACCTTCTTGGCTTGCTGTATATAATAAAGACTTCTATATCAACTTCTACATCTATGCACTTAATCACAATCTAGAAGTACAACATCTAGCCATACAATCATAGCTAATGGGTGTGTTTCTATAGATGCTATATAATTCTGTACATTTTTGTAAGCCAAACTTGTATCACAACCTTTAAAGAAGACATTAAGGTATTTCCTAGTGTTTTGCTGCTGCAGATGAATTAATTTATCTCACCATCACAATGTCCTAATAGCTCTCATTTTCTTCCTCCACCTTATTTCTTGGCTCTGCTCACACTTTTGCATGAGTTATGGTCTGACCCTTCACTTAATCAATTCAGGTCACACAACAGGATTGGGTTGGGATGTGGAGGGTGAATATTTTTCTGCTGACATAGTAAGTGACTCAGAGGACTGTTAGGACACTGCAAGAAAGCCAGTCGGATTACCTCAGGAAGCAGGATCAAGTTATTTTTGGGAGCAGTAGTAATTTGTTCAGCTAAGCTGCATCACAAAATCACACTTTCTGAAAGACTTTCAGAGAAATAAAAATCTAATTCAATGGTAAAAACTATTATACTTTCAGGCAGTCTGTCTTGATTATTCATTTCATGTTTATTCTTTTTGCTTTCCATGCATCTATTTTTTTAAAATATCAACTCACTTTATAGTTTAAAACTAAGCAGTTTTTTATACCTTTTTCATTTGGCATCACCTGAAGTGGCTGAGTGCTCATCTGCCCAAAGATAAATTACAAGACTAAAGCAGCAGTCTGTAATTAGTCAAAATAAAGATACATTAATGCACTAGTCAATGTATAATAAGTAATTATAAAACGAATTCAGGACAAACTTGATCTTCTGTGCTGCCATGTCACTGAGTTTGGAGCAACAGCTTTTAAACCAAAGTCAGATTTCAAGATTGAGTCTTGAATTTGAGGTAGGCAAGAGTGAAAACTCATCAGTTTTTATCTGGATATAACAAAATATATGGGTATTACCTTCAATATACTGTATAAAAGCTCTTAACATCTTTCTTCTGTCTGCTAACCCAGTGGTTTGGTCAAGATGTTTGTTGCACTACACACATTTGTCCTGAGACCCCTCTGGCATCCAGAGAACAAATACATTGCAAAACTACACCACAAAACTTTATCTCCTTCCGAGTCCTGTGAAGCCATAAGGCACCCAAGAGAAGTGTTACATTTGTTGCTGGGTTTGTCAAAAATGCTCTTATCAGCACTCATAAACATGCAAGTGCATGGGGAGGTATTTCAGTTCCATTGATTATGTCTTGACCACACTACTTGCCACTTGCACACAACACAGACTTTTCAATGCATGTTGGCATCAAAAAAGATTATCCATGAATTCTCCATTACCAAACTCCTTCATAAATCAGGAAGCTACTGGGTATCATTGATTTCTGCTAAAATGTTTTCTGCTGTTTCATGACTATTAAATCGCACTAATTTAAGTACGGCATCCAAACATTTCAGGCTTCAAAAATCAAAAACCACCATTCAGAAAAACAAAGAAAGAAAGAGAAAATAAGACTCAAGGAAGAGGCCAGTCTTGGTACTTACGAAAAGCTCTGTAGAATTCTTCTAGATCTAGGTGCTTATCACTGTTATAATCATCGTATTTCAGCAAATCAAACACGGAGCAGTCAGACGGTTCCTTGCCAAGCTCATCCCGTTTTATTACCTGACAAGAAAATTATAACCATGAAATTACATTTGAGCTCTTTGAGTTCTCTGGTATAATTAATTGTTTGTAATAATCATTTAATAGATCATTTTAAGGTTGCTGTAGGGCAATGAACTGGAGCTGTGTAAAGTCAGGGATTTTCAGTTACTTTGTAATTATTTATTACACTTTTTAAAGTTAATACCTTTAGGACAGACTCTGAAATTACACAAAAGTTTTTTTAGAATATACACAGCATATATATATATATATATATATATATAATAGAGACAGACTGAAGCACTATCAAGACACTAAGAATTTTAAAGCTGATTTTACTTTATGTGCACAGGAATGGTGATTAAGAAACATTCAAATATACCTAAAATAATAACTTCCCAAGTATAAATGGCATAATGTCTTTTCCCTCTAATTTCTAATCTACAGGAACCAAATGCAGACATTTCCAAAATAGCTAATATAAACTTTACTACCCTACTAATTGTATCAAGTTCTTACAGGCTTTTGGCAAGCCTATTACCTTACCAAAACCTGTTATATAAGTAGCTGACCTGAAAAGGCTCCTGTTTCTCAGTGGGGACATATAGAATTCATAAATAGATCAAAATTCATAGATGTTAGATTTTTAACTCCAATGAACTTATCCTAGAGAAATGTTCTTTAATATAAGCACCATTTTGTTTTAGGTCTGTGTATGTCATAGACATCTACTTAGATTCCTCATCTGAGGAATTTTTAAGATGCTGAGAGGGATTTAGAATTGTCATATTATATGAGGCATGTATTAGAAGTGCTACATCATAACTGAAAGAGCCAAAACTAATGCAACTTTTCGTTGCAATATTGCACAGTTTACAGTTTTATATTAGGCACTGAAAAAAATGTAACTGCAGTTAATTTCTAGGTAAAATGATTACTCTTCCAACCCTTTAACCGTCTCCTATGATAATTGCAAAACCACTGTTATATTTGTATCAACAGAGAATATCTTCTGAAAAATAAGGGATACAGAGGCTTTTGTGTTTCAGTTGTTCTGCAAAGGAATTCGTCCAGTTACTATTATGTAAACACAAAATACCTGAAAGAATAATAGGGAATGACAGGAGCATTAGAGAAAAAGACACAAACATTTTATGCTACCAGAAGTCATCTCCTACGCAATAATATAAAAGCATTATAAAGGATAATCACCTTTTTAGTACATTAGAGAGTATGAAAACCATTTACAAAGATAAGAAAAATCACTACAAAACCACCTTTTGCTATTATCAATTAAAAATACATACTATGCTACCTGAATATTAGTGCTAACTACTTCCCATCCTTTAAAAGCCTTTTTATTGAGTTCACATTAAAGTGAATTAAGAAAATATGAAATTGTGTAGCTCTTGCAGCTGGTACATAAAGGACGAAAGTGTAGTCTGGGAAATATTAGCATCTCTAAACCCATTACAGTTATACACGAAGAACTAAATATGTAATGGTGTGTATTGGAAACTAGCAATCACTGAAATTTCAAGGCCATGAACATTCAGTATGAAAAGCATTGTTCCTCTCATTGTTTCATTGTTTCAAATGCTTTCACTATTGTCAATTGTACAAATAAGGACAAAACTTTACACCTGAGGTTGAAGAAAATCTTTTTTAATTCCCAAAACACCTGGATTTATATTACCCCATTTTAAATTTAAAATTTTTCCATTCTTTGAACTAGAATCTGTTATCTGTTCAAATTTATCAATTATAAATGAAAAGCAACATATTTTTTAAAAGAAGAATCATGATTTAAAAAAAAATATTGGATAGAAGGATTTTGCTATTTCAAATAATGATAATACAGACAGGTACAGATTATCATCCTGGCAATTACTTAATTTTTTTCTACAGTAAACCTATTATTTTGATTAAAGATACAAGATTCAATGTTTGTTTTTGTACGAACATTTTTATGCTGGTGATATACTTCGGAATTCTTTAGAAAATACACTCACTGTTGATAAACCCTCTAACCTGTGAGTCTGTCAGGATAGATTTCAGAAAATACAGAAGGGATTTCATATGATGATTAATTTTAATTATTTGTGTCTGTGATTTCCTGCTGCAAGAGGTGTTCCAGCCTGCATCTCTTTTGCAGGATCTAGCCATCTCCAAGTTTTCCAATGGGATCTGTGGACCAGATCAACTCTGTGATCAGAACAAAAATTAACCTTTGTGGAACTTTTGGGTTGTTGGTTGGCTTTTCCTTTTGAAGGGGAGGGAGGCTAATATTCTATCACCAGATATGACTCAGATCCAGGTACAACTCAGGGTGTAGATTTTCAAAAATTACCTGTTTCTGTAGCAACTTAAGTGCGGATCAACTGTGATATGAAGTTACAAGCCATATGAGACTCCAGCAAAGCCAATATGACTGACAAATTAAGCTTTCACACTTCCTTATAGATTTTTGCAAGACGTTACTTAAAAGTGTAAGATAAATAGAATAAAATTCTATGTATATGATACACCATCATATATTCACACTTCTGTTTCACAGATGATCCAACAATGCCCCTTAAGTTTTAAATTCTATTAATCTATTAATTTCTGTCCACAGAGAAGACTAAAATGCAATGAAACAGTTTCTTAAGCCAATTCTTTAAACCCTGTCTGCTCCTTGGTAAACCTAAACAGTGATTTGTTAGGGAGGCAGAAGAAAAACTGGCAAAATTTTTAGCAAGTCACAACCTAAAAACAAAATGCTTACAATAAAGGTTAAAGCCTAATTAAGATTGTCAGCACAATTTTATTGTTATTTGTGGATTATGCCATACCAGTCAAACATAGATTATTTTATTTCCAACTTTTAAGTTGAAAATTCATACCAGAGAATGTTCACAAATATTTATGCACAGAATTTTTAGTTTGAATTTGCATAAAGACATTTAAGCATTCATTTTCAATATTATAAACTGGTAAAAGGTAAAATATACAGCAAAACTGTTCATGGTTCATTGTGAAACTCCATAAATACTGAAAACTTAGAAACTTACCTACATTTTCAAATTAAATATGTCTTTTCCAAAAAATTAAATTCATCCATCAGAATTTAATACTCTTTGAAACATGGAGGAAGGATTTGCATTTTCTGGAAAAGATTACATTTCTAAAAGATATATCACACAATTATTTATTTCCTATGAAATAGCATACTGTTACCTCCGTTCAGAGCCTCTCAGAAATTTAGTCTGTACATCTCCAAATTTTAGAAGACTGGGAAAAGTAATTTTATTAAAAATATCCCACTGTACATCAGAATAGATTGTTTCATTCCTTTTAATCTGATTTCTGACAGTTAAAATGAAAAATCTGCAGATATTATGAAACTAGACCACAAATAACATAACACATCTTTCATTAGTCCACCTTACCTGAAGTGTTATCAGTCAGTGGTTTTTTGTTTGCCTGTGATTAATGGTCTTTATGTATCTCCCCAAGGAAAATGCTACATAAATACAACTACAAACAAAAACTTCCTTTAAATCAAATATGTTCACTCAGTTAACGTGCGTTCATCTTCCCTAAAAGCAAGAACCTCACTCATAACGTGCCACTCCGTGCTTGATAAAACACCAAGTTCATCAAACACCAGGCATTGTGAGAACTCTGCTCCAAATTAATTCTGACTGCATAAGGGGAGGTTCAATTACTTGTCCCACCATCTTCCACAGCAGCGTAACTTTTTATAAATTAAAAGAATTGATTAATAATGAAACCAAATTGATAATAAAGGCTGGTAATTTGTTCCTTGATTTAGCTTCTGTTAATCTAGTTAAATCAATATTCTTATATTTTACCAACACAATCCTCTGTTTATATTATTGTGATACCTTTGATATATGTAAAGATACAGGACATGTGCATCACAGAATGACGCAGAGATCCCTGAGCAGATGGATACCAGAACTGCTAAACCCACAGCCAGTGGCCTACAAAGGCAAGTACCCAATTTCATTTAAAGGTATTACCTCAATACTATCCCAAACTGATCAAGTTACATAGCCCAGATATGGGACACCTTTGCAAACTAATTTCCTAATTAGTTCCAACTGGGAACTTTCTCCAATGAAAGGCACATTTCCCTGCCTTTCCAATTCTCCATTTAGCAGAGGAAAGACCTAATCTGACTCAGAGGATGTAAGTGTGTCCTTAGGTGTCTGCAAATATAACGTTATAGATGCGAGAGGATGTGTGTCCTTAGGTGTCTGCAAATATAACGTTATAGATGCCTAGCTCACAGTGTAAGACCAGAATAGGTATTAGGGCCACACAGATAGGCTGTGGATAAAATTCTGCATCTCAGAACTAAACCTGGAACCACCATCATTCTGAGACTGCGACTCTGGACTTAAACAAGATAAAACAATGAGTGCAAACAAAATCTTGAACCATCGTGCCCACTTCCCATCCTTGAATCTTCTCAAGAAATGAAGCTTGCTCCTGCTTCCTTCACAGCCTGCAAGAATGCAATGGGAAATGCTGCTACTTCATAAAATCAAAGGCACCTAAGAAAGATCAAGATGTTGGAGTTTGTATGATGTTCACAGTGTTCGTAAGCTTTATCTCACTACTCATCCCTACGAGAGTCTTAATTTCCCCTAGTATGAAAGTTTCACAGAGGGTTATTATTTTTATTTTGAACCTAGAACTGAATATAGCACATGCTTAGTTTTTTTCCCAGATTAGTGTCGTTAAAAATAGATAATGCAAGCCAAATAACATGTCCCTAATAATAGCAGAAAATAAATAGAACCATAACTCAACATGCAAAATTTTCTTCTGCCTATGTAACAAGTTGATTAAAAACACTAAGAGGAGATAGACTCATTATCCCTTCTCTGAGTTCCAAGCTCTCCAAATAACTCTTAATAACAGCACTGATTAGATGCAAAATCAGAAGTCATGAAGGTAAAAATTTAAATGTCAGGGTCCAACCAAGTATTTTGATCAGTTTAACAAAGTCTGACAGAGTGATGTAATTTATATAAGTAGTGCCTCCGCAAACAAGTTCCATGAAGTATCTTCTGGTATAAAGTGCAGAAGTATTATCATTAATAAAGAAATAAAACCAAAATAACTTTGGGGTATTTTGATTTTGCAGAAGTAAGGATTAGTTTTTATAGAAATTAAAAGTATTTTCATTTGTCCTACATCAAGCTGGTAAGCAAAAGAAACATAACATATTCAGGTATTTGAAATTACAGATACCAGTTAATAAATAAGGAATCTAACTTCTTTCTTTGAATCTAAAAACTGATCATTGAAAGGAGGGAAAGGAAGGGGAAAATTATTATTATTATTATTACTACTACTATATATTCAACTTGCTTTCAGGCTATGTCACTTCTCTTTTCTGCAAAATTTTGCTTTCTTAGTTCACTAGTATAGGAAATAAATAAAAAAAATCTCTAAGTCTAATCAAATATAGATTATTTCACTTCACACACTTCTTCCTTCAAAAAGAACCTTGAATTTCATTGCTAAGTAAGATGAAACATTTTTAGGGCCTATGCATCTTTCAGTGATGGCAACCAGAAAAGGCTTATTGTTTATAAAATGGCAGTTCCACCATAGTAGAATAACTTCATTCATAACTGGAAAAACACATTTTATTCCCATGCCTACCCATAACACTTCTGTTCTTTTTCCTCTTCTATACAGCAAAAACAATATACAGTAATCAAGCAGTCCACAATGATAGAAACACTGGTATTTCATTTACAAGTTTTTACTAATTTCCAGTTTGGATTTGCATAAGATAAAACAGATAAACAAATGAGTCTGTTAACAATTGAACGTTCACAGGTAAACCGAAGATTCAATTATCTCCCATTATTCTGGGCTCATTTAAAATGTGCCTAAGTGCTTTGAAAACAAACTAAACCCTTCAAGGAACCACCTCACCTAACAGGAAACCTTGCAGGTACATTGATCAGAGATGATGAAGATGATGAGAACCCTGCCTGTTTCACAGCTCTCAGTTTGGAAAGACAGATACTCTCTCTGGCCAGTACCTACTTCTCAAAACAGAGTGCTCTAAAAGGTTAAATTCATAAGTCCTTTCAAAATCAAGCCACATCTCACTTGCCAATACAGGATTTGGAAACTAAAACATTAAATGAGTCAGACACAGCGATTAAAGAAGTCAAGGCAGAGAACAATTTATATTGGAAAAAAATGTCCATTGAGCCTACATGGAGCTACATAACCCCACTGCTTTCCTATTACATTTACACAGTGTATTAGAGTTAAAATTCTTTTTAGCTGCAATTCTGTATTGGACTACAAAGCCATGAACAATATTATACCCAGATGATAGAATTGTTCAAACAGTAGAAAAAAAACAGTCTGCCAAGTTTTAATGTATTGCTATCATTCTTGAAGTTTTTTAAAAAAAAAAACCAAAACAAAACCACAAAAAACCCCAAACAAAAACCATACCAAACAAAAAGCAACTCCTAAACCCCCAAACGCTTCTTACAATTTGAAATAGTTTTTTAAAGAACACTACTTCTGCTTTTTTTTTGGGAGAAAAATACATCAATAAAATTGGAATGCTGCTGTCACCATTTCCAACCTCCAACTGATTCATTTCAATTTTACATTAGGTAGGAATGACTATATGGACACCTATGAGATAATAAATGCAATCCAAGGGCCTGATTGCACAGCAAGATTGATGAGATGTAAAATTTAAGATGCACTATAAACTGAAATTCAAGATTCACGTGAACATAAATTAACTTCAGACGTCCTTGTTTTCTACAGCAAGTGTGTTGCTTTTCATATCCCCTTAATATGATTACATCTAAAATGCAGACAGGAGCTATTATTTATGACAACTCTGCAGATTTCAAAATTTTGACTGTGAGCACAACTGAGAAAAATTCTCCTAATCCTGAGAACATTCTCAGGAGTACGGTAACGTCTCCCTGTGGATGGTTGACCCTGACTGGATAATGAAAGTTTCATGGGCCAAGATAAAGTGAGGGAGCGATCACTCACCAATTACTGTCATGGGCAAAACAGACAGCCTGGGGACAAATTAACTGAATTCAATACCAACCAGACAAGAGTAAGATGAATGAGAAATAAAACTAAATACTAAAAACTCCTTTCCTCCAAGGGGCCTAACTTCACTGAAAATATTCTCTGTATTTTGCCTCCCCAGCAGAGCAGGGGGACAGGGAATGGGAGCTGCAGTCAGTTCATCACATGTTCTCTTTTCTACTCCTTCCTCCTTAGAGGGAGAACTCCTCTCAGTCTTCCTCTCCTACAGGAGACAGTCCTCCATGATCTGCTCCAACATGAGTCCTTCCCATGGGATGCAGTTCCTCGTGAACTGCTCCAGCATTGGTCCCCTCCAAAGGGTGCAGTCCTTCAGGAACCGACTGCTCCAGCATGGGTCCCTCACGGGGAGGGGAACTGAGTCTCTTGTCAAACCATACAATAACAACACAAACAATACTATGAATTTACTTGACATTCATCTGTACGTTGAATAATTTGATGTTTCTGCAATGAATTTTAGCAAAACCAAAACCCACCTATTTGGGGTTTAAGGATGACTTGTTTCCATAGTTGTGAAAAAGAACTACTTTACACCTGCCATTATAAATTCCTCATCATAGGAAAAAAAGCATGTTGGGAAAAGTATGCATAGAAAGTTTGAAAACACAATAATGGAAGATTTTACAATTATTTTAAAACTGTGTTTAACGCACACACAAAAAGCAAAAGTATACATGTAGCAACTGAATAGAGAAGAATTAAATAGTTTGCAAACCTATATATGTGATTCCTATTCATGTTATCTATTCATATAGTATATTCATAGATAAATTATTATTTGTAAGATATATACAGGTATCAAAGTCCCTTAAAAGTTGAAGTTCTGAAAGACTCTAAGAGCTGCAGGAAAAATCAATATTGGAAAAGTACAGAAAAAATATTTTCAAATTAATCTTTTGAAATAGTGTATTAGTAGTTGACATGATGCCTATATTTGCAATCACCCCCTGGTCCTTGGAATTGCAATTAAAATTTTCAAAGTCAGCTGTATGGAAATGATAACTGCAGCATATTTCATAACACCACCATGCAACTTGATGATGTTCAACACTCACATCTAAAAAATTCTAATTTTTTACATTTTAATCAGCTGCCTAGTTTTAGACTCATTAATACAGTTTAGCCATGATTAGGTTCTCAAACACAGACCTCTAGTAAATCAAGGTATACTTGCCCTGATAATACTCTTTAATAGAATCAATCCTTTTAGGTAGATAAAATCTAGTGCTGCTATGCCTACCTGAGCAGCAATTAGTGGTTTAGATCTGTTACTAGTTAAAATTTGCTCTTTAGAGACTACCATGAACTTCCTTTGCAAGATTTCTTCTGTACTTCTCTAGCCCTAAGATAAAGCAGTAACACTTCTTTAGTATTACAGAAGTGATTTACATAATTATTTTGTTTTCAACTTCTACAATACATCTATACACTTGGACTTGATGATAGTGTGCTATGGATAATAAAACAACTCATGGTCACAGCAGCCTCGAGTGTTCTAACACACTGCAGTATAATTCAAAGCATTATATTCAAATTTATAAATAATCACTACAGAATTTCTGAATAATTTAGCCATTCAAAAACTCTCAAATGAAGTTTTCCATCTCAGAGAGTCACATTTTCTAAATTATATTCCCTCTGTATGTATCCTGAAAAAGACATCTGAATAGTCACTGTGTTAATAGAAACAAAAATTAAACCTTACCTGAGATAATTCATTAGTATCCACAAGTCCATTGTTGTCTGAATCAAAATAATTGAACATTTGATCTATAAGAAGTTTCTTCAATGCCATTTTCTCACCAAGAGATCTATCTCTTGATTGTGCAATGTATCTCTGGTTTTGTAGATCCAGTAACATATTTTTCACTTCAGTGTATTCAGTAGGTTTGCATTTATCCCCTGAAAAGAAAATACACAAAGGAAGATTATCTGGAACTTGATTTCCTATTAAAAGTTTAAAGGTAAACAAAACAAAACCAAAACCAAAAAACATATAGCGCTACAAATAGGGTTCTTTCAAGAGATGAGAAATTAATTCTGTAGTAGTTTGAACCACAACACTTCCTTGTCTGGACTTCAAACTAAAAGAAAGTATTGCAGTTTTAGATATTTTCTTAGACAAGGTTTTCTTTTTATGGAAATTAAGGAAACTTCTATCAGTTTCCAAGCCTGTACTTTTTAAACTTATCATTCTGTAAAAGTGCATCTGAAGATTTATTAAAGTTTTACCTTTCGTAAAGCTTTTCATATAAATGTAGAAATGCAATGTATGCAAAATACCCCTGCAAATATGATAGAAAAATATATGCTATATTTTTCTTAATAATATTTGACTTCAGAAAGCAGAAATTACTTCTGAGTGCTCATAAGCTATCCTACCTTTTCATTTATTGGACATAGCAAGCTTATTTGAACAAGAAAAGGTGGGATTGCCAAAGGAAGAGAAAGGATATCTTTGACAAGATCTGATTTACTCCTTTCATTATCAAGTCTTCTAAAAAGTGGAAAATGTTACAGAAATGTCCTGCATACAATGATTACAGTCAGTACTTATTTTAAACCAAACCACAAAATAATGCATGCCTGGTGTTCTCTTATGTCAGTTGCTGCATATTTTAAACTGGATAGAGAAACAGTTTAAAAGAGCTTGTTTGGTGTTTTTTATTAAGATAATCTTAGGATTTTGAAAGGGTCTTTTATATGATGAGACATGCAAATGTGCAACAGCAAATGTGTACCAGCCTAGTGCAGATGTATACTTGCAGTTAGCCAATACTTCACTTCAAGCAGTGACTTCAAGACTAGATTAATATACTGATTGACAAAGAAAGGTATTTTGCAATCTTCTTTTTAGTCACTATTCTGAAGATACAAGGATTTATGAGAGACAACTATTTACCTCATGAAAACTGTGTAGGTAGTTTTTTTGCTAAGTGGATCTTTTAAGGAACATCTAATTTACATGTATGGGACTGGAATTAATTATTTTGGTATATTTTGTGGTATGTGCATTGTTATGGTGATACTGTGAATATATTCATAGACATTACAAAAGGCAGAGAGGGAAAAAGTTCCTAAATGCTTCTCACTATCCTAGAAACACTCAGATCTAGAAGAGAAGGATTTATGACAGAAATTAAATCATGGAAGAAAAAAAAAGTTTTTTGGAATCAAAGCCACTCTAGCCTTTTTTGTTTTGGTTTTTCTAAAAGCCACCAACTGTTATATAGCTATTTAAGTAACAGAAATAGACAGACCCAAGTTGTATTTAACTGACAGCCTAAGCTATGCATAGTATTTGCATATTTGTCCTCATCTGCCAGGAGCATGAAGATTGAGGCCATACAATTTGTAAGAGTTGAGTTCTGCGTGAGTGCTTTTCAGGGGTCTAATGCAGAAATACTCCGTAGGGAAACATGTTTATTCCTCAGGCATTCTGAAGCTGCAGTGAGCAAACCTTGCCATCTGAAGGGATGCAGGCTCCAGGTGGTGGGGAGGGAAAAGAGCACTTAACTTGAACATACTCTAATTCATTTGGGTGAACTCCAAGAGACTGGGCCAGAAAACAAGTACCATCTTTGTCTCCCTTAGAAAACTTTTCTGGCTGTGGTGCCTTTGAAAAGACAGTCTGGCTGCAGGTGATGACTAACACCATTTCACCTACACTTGTGGCAGGGATGCAGGGATGGCAGGGAAGACAAGACAAATACTATTTGTTAGTGTATGGCTATCAGAGCTAGCTACCAAATTCAGATTTTAGCCCCTAAAATGATCAGTCTCATTCTGCAAGTTTAAAACTGCAAAGAGCTATTCTTTACAGATACAGAACATAGTAAAAGAATTCGTTTTCTTAACAATATCTGTTAAATCATGGATTTGTCACAGTAGCACTGACAAGTTGCTTCATGTCAGAGTTTAAAAGAGAAACTCACATTGATGGGGCTTTTTTTTCCTTCAAGCACAGAACCATGTCTCTCCCTTTAATGACTGACCAAGAACTGAAAAGAGGTTTTCATCTCAACAAAGACAATAATGATGCTAATTTTTGAATACTGAAGATTATTTCATTATAAATTCTGGACAATTTATGTGCAAATTGCACAAATATTTTCATGAGTGATTTTACAAGCCATGCAAATTTAGAGGAGTAACAATGAAATTTATGTATCACATGATGATTAAAAAACATTGCAATAATTAGTTGTATTTCTTACTTTTAACTTCCAATAGAGTTTATGAAAAAAAGTTCTAAAGGAAGTTTGATTGCAGTCCAGGAAAAACATTTTAATGTACTTTAGACATTAACTTTACATCTAAAACTTAAGGGAAAATGAACTAATGTATTCTGTCACAACACCTGTTCAGAGAGAGAAGAATTCAGAAAACATCTTTTCCATGACATTTCTACTTCTCTTTGCATAGAACAAACTTCTGTAGCTAGTATAATAGTCATGTAAGAGCCCTTAAATACAGCATGTTTATAAACTATTTATACATTTTCCCAGACAATAAAAGTATTTGCATCATTTTTTAATATAAAACATAAATGCTGTCTAATACAAAATAATCTGACAGATTGCTACTGCCACAAGGTTGGGCACTTCCTGCAGAAAAACTTCATTCACAAATTCAGCAAAGTAATCTGTTAGAAGTACTATATTACATATATTTTGATGTAACACCCACCTTCTAAATATTACTATGAATTTTAGCAATGCAGTTTAAGCCAGTGAGAGATTAACCATCAGTTTATGATCTTAATTAACTACCGTTGTGGTAAACCATGTTTCCACAGCTATACTACATCAAAGCCTTTTCATTTTATACATAATTGAAAGTAGTCTTTAGACCAACATCTGTAATTTAAGGACAAACATGATGGATGGATGTTACTGACAGATAAAGGAATCACAAGGAAACAATGAGAGACTCCTAGTGAACACAAGGCACAACTTCATTAACAAATTGCTCTCTTATCTCATAGTCATGATTGCCTTTTACTGCAATATTTGAGGAAACGTGAAGCTGATGTTTAAATTACAGGAATGAGGCTCTGTTTACAGGAGACCTCCCCCAGGCTGGAGTAGCAGCACAGAGAAAAACTCAGTTGCTTTATTTATGTTCTAATTTAGTAAGCATTACTTGTGAAATAGTTGTCTCAATGACACACGATGGTAAATGGGGATTAAGTACATCAACCTTTATAGTGAGGAAAAGTAATTTATTCCTAACAAAATTGAGAAAGACAAAACTACTGGGAATACACTACGATTATATTACTTCCAAAAAGGCCTACTAAATTCTATATAATTAGCTACATACGTGAAATGGTAACCAACATGTACATAATTTACTAATTCCATTTTCTAGTACTTTTTTCTTTCATTTTTGAACTAGAATTCCTACAAGAATAAGTAGTTATTTTCAAAAAAAAAAAATTATAGAAATTAATAATAGAAAAAGAAAACACAAAATTTCCTTTTCTGTTAGTTTCATTCATGGAAAAGACCAGTTCTACTACACAAGAGTTTTTGTCCAAAAAACCAACCAACCAACCAACCAAACCCAAAACAAACCACCTAAATAAAAAAAACAAACTCTGCTATGATTTATTTCACAAGTTTTCTGACACTGTCTGTGCAGAACAATCACAGAAGATGTGCAGAAACCTAAAAGTGTCAAAAACACAATGGAATCTAAGTGCAGGTCTCCAGTTCCTTATCTTGCACTTTCTGAAGTACTGATATTCTTAGGTTTTAATTTGTTCAAACTCAAAAGCAGTAGAAAAATGGAAACATTTGCTGTTTCTTTCCATTCAGTGCAACAGCTTTGTAGCTGTATCTCTGTTACCTAGGAAACAGCTAAAAGTTAGATTTTGAGTGCTACTGTCCTTCTAGACAGTGTTGAATAGTGGTATTTGCCTATAACAGAAAAAGAAGTCCTGTTTGACAATTAGTCATGCTGAATTTGTAAGACAAAAAATTATCACAAAATTAACAAATTATTTATGAAAATGTGGGAAAGGAATGTACACATTCTTAACACCTGCAGAAAAATATTAAAGAATCAGCTAAGTTAATAATTTAGGGAACACTCCTTACATCTAAAGTCAGATATCAGATTCTTGCATTTCGTAGATTTTAGGAAAACACTAATATACACAAAGAAGAAAAGAATACACATATTTAGAAAACATAATAAAGCAAACCATTTGATTTCACAGTTCTTTCACCACATTCATGGTTAATACTTTAGCCTTTCTTTGCCTGAGCCACTCCATTTAGCAGGAGCTACCCCTCTGTCAGAAAGCTGATATTCACAGCATGTTTATCCCTACAAAAGACATCTGCTGCTGAGATACAATTTGATTCTGAGCTATCTGTGATTTTGCACTGAGTTTTATCTCTATTGATAGATTTTTATCTACATATATATATAGCACAAATGGTTTCTACATTATTCTTTTAAAATTAAAATAACTTTGGATCTTTCAGACATGGCAAATAGTTTTCAGTGAAGCATATCTCATATGAGCAGTTTTAAATAATCCAAAACAGATATATACATAAATCAGATTGTAGGAAATGGAATAGACCTGATAAGCAGAAACATCTAGCCTTCTACATTCTGAACTCATTCAGAATAATCTAATTAACCAAAACAATTCACTGCTAAATCACAAATTATATTGCATGGAGCAAACATGAGAAACTAATGAAAGATTTATGTGTATATATATATACACACACATACACACATATAGAAACTCATACAGATATGCAAACACACACATTCATATGCACATACACATATCTGATATCAATAAATTTCAAACATAAGGGGAAACTTGAAGGTCTTCATCCATTCAGCTATTTCTTAACATCTGTCTATAGATAAAG